AAATGACACTTTCATATGAAAACAGCGGATCATGCGCTTGGGATTTGACTGGGACACTGATGAAATATATATCATGTTGTTTGCCAAGTTGGCTATGCCGTTAATGGGGACAGCTCGGATTGTCGTGAATAGCATCCACATCAAGGGTGATGTATGCATCAGACTCTTTTCTTGTTTTCTTATTATTGTTTGGATTGTTTTTCTTTTAATGCTTAATCTCTATCATCACTTTGCATTTTTATTGGGGTTATTCACAAGACTATCTCATAGAATATCTTATAATTCCTTTTTTTTTTTATTTTTTATATATATATTAAGAAGTATCCGTTTGAGGTTTGTAGTTACCTTACAATTACCCCATTCTGAAGTGAACATTTTTTTAAGAGAAAACAAATGCCAGGGAAAGATGTCACATTTTGTTTATCTTTTTGTAATTACTCTAAACTTACTGGGCATCATATGTAACTACCCTTCTCTTTTCGATAGGGTATAGCAGAGGTAGAACTAATCAACTAACTGATGCAAAAACCATCAATGGGTGCCAATATGTTTCTTTCACATGATATTCTTTGAATGATGTAGCTTCTTCTGATGCCAATATTGGAAGGGAAAGCTATAGCATACTCGTTTGTATCGACTCCTGAGGTGAGGCTCGGTGTAGCTTTTGGGAGTGGCGGAAGTCAATCTCTACCTGCAACAGAACTACCAGGTGTCTCTTCATGGCTGGTATGGGTAGCTACAATAACAATTTCTTGCCAATGAACTTTATTTTCTTGTTCCATATTTTGAATTAACTTTTGGGGAAAAAAAAAAAGAAAAGAAAAAATGGCTTTCACTGAAACGTCAGTTATCCTAATCGTTAGCTACTCCTACTAGACATTAGATATAGTTTATGGTATCTACTTTTGGTTAACTTACATAAAGTTATACTGAGGTTTATAGTAATGACACGAAAAGAAGAACCATTTGTTTTTAAGTTTTCAAAAGAACCCGACATTTATTTGTCTCGCGAAAGTGCTTTGTCATGAAAGGGTGAACCTTATTTGTTAATAATTACTCCTTTTTTTTTTTTGCATAACAGGTCAAAGTTGCCACGGACACGCTGAATAAGAGAATGGTCGAACCCAGACGTCAGTGTATTGCTTTGCCAACTGCAGACCTGCAAAGGAAAGCTGTAGGTGGTGTGCTATATGTCACGATAATATCTGCTAAAAATATTTCTGGTTGTACGAGCACTTCTTACTTGGAGGACTATCCAGAAACCAAAGAGCTTCAGACATTCGTGGAAATTGAAGCTGAGGAGCTAACAAGGAGAACAGATGTAAGATCCGGAACTTGCCCCAGGTGGGACAACACATTCAATTTGGTCCTGCATGATAGTGTGGGAATCATTAAATTCCATCTCTATAAACGCACTCCCGGAAGTGCAAAATACGACTTTCTCACCAGCTGTGAGGTTAAGGTAAATGTCGTTTTACTTTGCTAAAATTTTAAGCTGATTTGTATCGTGACAATATGTCATGTATCCATTATATGGAGTATAGTCTTTAAAGGTTCATGTTGAATTTAGTATTTTAATTATTCATTTTTTTTATATTAGTTTATATTCTACTATGAAATGGTTGTGGGTCTTTAGATTTTATATAAATAGGCTCAAGCCCGTTTCATATGAGTCTTGGGGACACGACTCTTTCGAGAAGGGAATATTTTTCCTGTTACTTTTTGGNAGTCCCCCCATCTACTTATAGATACCTATTACAAAGCCCTTATTCATTAGCGTATTAACATAAAGTCTAAATGCTGAAGGCCATTTCATATTAGAACATAAACTAATATTAAGTAGCTAATTATAATACTAATTCAACATGAACCCTTAAAGATTATTCTCCAAATATTGGCTACATGACACAATAGTTCTCAGAATTGAAATTATTGTATGTTTATTTATAGGTACTCAAACAAGTACTAAGTTCTTTTTTCCCAAAAAAAAAGAAATAAATAAATAAATAAAAAAACTGTGTGCCCTATTTAATGCGAAAAATTTGGACCGATTGCAGATGAGATATGTCCCAAATGATTCAACGATATATTGGGCCATTGGAGCCGACTCAACAGTGATTGCAAAGTATGCCGAGGTTTGTGGAAAAGAAATTGAGATGACAATTCCATTTGAAGGGACTAATTTGGGGGAGGTACTTTCTACTATCTTCCCTCGTCATAAACTAGCTAATTAATACATTTTATAGAAAAAAATCCAAGGGAGTTGGCTTGTAAAATCCTTCCCGTCATTCAGGTAGGTCCATACTCTATGTGGTAAATGCTGCTGAACAGGAAAACTGCTTTTGTGATCTTAAGTTTTATGGTATTTAGAAGAATCTTCAATGCTATATCCAACCGATTGATGTTTAACTTCATAACTCATTCCTATAATGGTCTTTTGCAACCACCTAGCAGCTGACAGTGAGGCTTGTGCTTAAGGAATGGCAGTTTACTGATGGTTCACATAGCTTGACTAGCCTTGGCTCGGGCTCTCGTCTTTCACTGAATGGGCCATCAAATTATTTTTCCAAAACTGGTAGAAAAATCTGCATAACTGTTGTAGAGGGAAAAGACCTTGTTGTAAAGGACAAAATTGGAAAATCCGACCCTTACGTAAAACTGCAATATGGCAAGGTACAAATCCCCCTTTATAGATCATATATTAAACATCTCCTTTGCATACATCTCCTTTTCTTAAGCTGATAATCGATATTTTGAGGTGATATTAATTATTAAGCAAGATTTTAATCCTTCATGTTATCCAGGCTACCCAAAAAACAAAATCTGTCCCACATTCGCCCAATCCAACTTGGAATCAAAGGTTTGAATTTGATGAAATAGGAGGCGGAGAGTATTTGAAGATAAAATGCTTTACTGAAGAAACATTTGGGGATGAGAGCATAGGCAGTGCACTGGTGAATTTGGAAGGACTCGTGGAAGGTTTGATTAGAGACGTTTATATTCCCCTTGAAAAAGTCAATTCAGGGGAGTTGCGGCTTCAGATAGAAGCTGTCAAACTTGACGACAAAGAAAATTCGATGGTATGTGTATTAGCCAATCTCTCAGATCGGAGTTCAAAAGTGATTTACTTTGTGTTTGGTAGTAACTACAAAGCAAAATCAGAATCCAAACACTAAGGCGTGTTTGCATACAAATATATCCGCTCAAAACGACTTTTTTTTGGTTAACTATAGTTAATTTTGAAAAAAGTTGGTATGGTTAGTTGTTAGTGGGATTTTGAATTTATATTAAAATAATATTTAAAATAAAATAATTAAAGTTAATTTGATGTAAAAATATGGGAGAGATGATTTGAAGTGATGCTTAGTTAAAACTGTGTGAGTGGATGAATGGTGAATTGAAGTTGATGTGATATGTAAGAATGATTAGTTGGTATTATTTAATTATATTGATAAAATTAAGGATAATGGAGTTGAGTTAAAGTTGAGTTAGAGTTTGAGTATGAATTGAGTATGAGTTGAAATAATTGATATACATTGGGTATGAGTTGAAATAATTGATTTTATTGGTTCTATGCTGTTTTTTAGGGCTCTCGCTCGAATTTGAGCAACAGTTGGGTCGAGCTCGTCATAATTGAAGCAAGAGATCTTATTGCTGCTGATATACGAGGCACAAGTGATCCTTTCGTGAGGGTACACTATGGGAACCTCAAGAGAAGTACCAAAGTCTGATTCTTGTAACCGACACGTATTTTATTTTCCGAAAAAATTATTACTATACATTTCCATTACAATACTTATGAATTAATAATGTCTTTTGACAGGTGATGTACAAAACACTAACTCCAAAATGGCATCAGACCTTCGAATTCCCAGATGATGGCAGCCAGCTCACATTGCACGTGAAAGACCACAATTCCGTGTTGCCCTCATCCAGCATAGGTGACTGTGTGGTCGAGTATCAAATGCTACCTCCAAACGAGATGGCCGATAAATGGATACCTTTGCAAGGAGTTAAACGAGGCGAAATCCACATCCAGATCACAAGAAAACTCCCACAACCGGACAAAAAACCTGGGCTCGATTCTTCTCATGACCGGTCAACCTCCTCTGCTGACTTTTCCCGCCAAATTTCAAACCAGGTGCGACACAGATTTTTGCAAAATTTAATGGCTGGCCATTTTTATAATATTTTTTTTTTTTTTTGTGGTTTGGTTTTTTTTTGTCTAGATTAAGCAGATGATGATGAATCTTCGCGCCAATGTGGATGATGACGATCTGGAAGGGGTCTCGAGGGTATTGAGTGAACTCGAGAGCCTCCAAGAGAGTCGAGAAGAGTACGTGGTTCAACTCGAGACCGAGCAAATGTTGCTTATAAACAAAATAAATGAGCTTGGGCAGGAAATATTCAACTCAACGTCGCCTTTGACGAGAACTGCTACCATCCCTTGAACAAACTATATAGTTGGATGTTTACATAATCCTGAATGTGATATATGTGTTTTACATAAAGAATTATAGAATATGTATGTCTGAAAGTATTGAGCTCATAATTAATTATTGTGTTGAGCTTGTGCTTTGTTTAATATTTAAACAAATCTAAGCTATTAATCTCACCACTGATTGGGTTGTGTGGAATTATTTATTGTGTTCTTTACTACGCACGAATGGTCAAGGAAGATGAACTGATTTATGTTTGAGGAGACCAAATTGTTCTCTATTGAGAAATTGTCGTCTTATGGTTGAGGAGAACAAATTGTGCTCTATTGAGAAATTGTTACGTCGTATTTCGTTCAAGTACTTGAGTTATTTTTCGCGTGCTCAAATTATTTAATCAAGATTCTCATGCTAATGTATTCCTTTTTCTCTTTTTATTTCCTAGTACTGTTTTGGACCAAGGTTGTAAGTATTCGACTAGAGCACTCACGGGCTCCATGGCCCATGTCTCCACAATTTCTACCCGAGGTTGTAAGTATTCAAGTATGGATCGTTTTGGACTCGGGGAGCATACCCTTGTACTACGTTGACGTCAAAAGAGACTCCTTCAAGATTTGGATCATAACTCGCTTCTATGTACCTCGAGCACTCACGGGCTCCATGGCCCATGTCTCCACAACTTCCACATACCTATGTCATAACTATTTGAGTCGACTTTGCATCACGTAAGCGAAGGTATTTGAGTTCTTCCTCCAATGAGACCAACTTGACCAAAACTGCATCATTTGTTGAAGAGCCGGATGAGGGAGCAGTTTCATTGACGGGAACTCGCTTCGAGACTCTTTATTTGGGAATTTTCTCTCAACATCTCATAAAAATCATAGATCTCCTCCGTATGGCTCCATATATCTCCTCCGGCCGCGTGATCCACCATGTATTGAAGCATTTGATGAAGGTTGTCGTAGAAGAATTGGTTCAAGACTCTGAGGCAAAAGTGGTGATGTGGGCATTGGAGTTGATACCCTTTGAACCGCCCCCACGCCTCGCTGAAAGTCTCCCAAATTTTGACTAAAACTCGCCATTTGAGCTTGAAGATCCGTCGTCTTTTCGTGGGAGTAGTACGTCCCCATAAACTTTTCGTACACCGCCTCCCAATTGGTATGCTAGTTAAGGAGTAGTGTCATGAACCATGGTTTAGCTCGATCTTTCAACGTGTATGGGAAACAACGAATTTGAAGTTGGTTTTTGATATGGCCTTGTAGAGGAAAGGTGTTGACCGTAGAATAAAAATTTCCCAGATGAAATTAAGAACATCCTCTTGTGGGACCCAATGGTATACTTTGGTTTGGTGAATGGGATATGCACATTGTCTATATTAACCTTAATGTGTATTAAATTTTTAGTGTTTTTTTAACCGTTGGATGATCAATTTAAATGAGTAAGATTTATTCTTGTTTTCTTCACTGATAACCATTCTCATCGGAGCACGACCTTAAAAAATATTTCAAATCATCAATTCATAGATGGCTCATGGAATTTTTGTCCATACTCATTTTGATATATTTTTATGCTTTTAACATTTGTGGCATGGAAAATCATAATTATATCTATGACTTAATTATATAGCATCGAGATTAGATGAAGAATTCTTCAAGTATTCATTATGTAAGAATTGTTCTCGGGACTCGTTTCTTTTCACCTCACTGTTATCGAGTCTAATTTAAGATCTTTCATAACTTTATTTATTAATAGGCACCAACTGTTGTGGATACTAAAAATCATAGGTTCTCAAAGACTTTTGAATTTTAATCCCAAAATTGTTGAACATTTGCAAAACAGAATTTCCTATCATTAGATTTTTAAATATGTGATAAAATTTTACCAAAATAATTTTTATATAGAATTACATTGTAGTAAAATCAAATTTGCGAATAACAATTTTAAAATAAAATTTATGAGTTGCATACTATTTTTAAATATACATGTTTTATATAATTTTGCACGATTTAAATTTCATATAAAATTTTCAATAAATTAACATAGGTAAATTATATTACATATTGATTCTATATTTTAATTATAAATATTATTTAATTAGTATTTTTAATTTATAAATATCGATGAATATCTTTTACTCGTGAATCGCACGAGATTCGTACTAATTTAGTATACAATGCATGAAATATTGAAATGAAAAACAAATTTTATTGTGTAACTACGATTGGGTACTATTGACCTTTTTAAACAAAAAAGCATAATACACAAAATAGAACCTACACATATATAAAGACTGCGCATATCATAGTGTATACAGAGAATGAAGCTATGTTGACAGACTAAAAATATCATAGAGTATATACAGAGTCAGAGATTGAATAGAAGTTGACAGACTTAGCATATATAGAGATACACGTAGCTACCTATATTATATCTATATTGTTAATCCCGCATATTATGCAACACTATATGCAAACACATATTAAATTTTTTATCTGCCAATTAGTACAAATCTGGTGTGATGCATAAATAATAAATATTCATTAATATTTATAAATTAAAAATATTTATTAAATAATATTTATAAATTAAAAATACTGACTCAATATGTAATACAATTTATCTATTATAATTTAGTGAAAATGTTATACGAAATTTAAATTGTGCAAAATTACATAAAACATGTCTATTTAAAATTAGTACACAACTCGTACGGTGCACGTAACTGATAATTAAATTACATTATATTCCTTTCAAAATTAGTGTCATTTTAAATTTTTATTCAGAAATTCAATCTGACTACAATGTGATTCCATAAAATAGTTATTTTGATAAAGTTTTATCATATATTTAAAAATCTATGTGGATAATAAGTATCATTATAAAACTTATATTGTTTCGTTAATTAAAAAAAAATTATAAGCTATCCAAATTAAAAAAATTAAATAGTTGAGTAATTTATTAAACTGTAAATATTTGTCTATTCAATTTACATCCAAGATAATATTGACTCGTAACTTGCGAATAATTACTTATTTGACTTTTAAATTTATAAATCCTATCCTTAAGGGATCATTATCCTCATATCCCAAGACCATATAAATATTTTGAGATACCTAGAAAAAGATATATTCTCTCATATTTTTAATAAATGTCATTATGAGAAATTGTACAGTAATTAATAATATTTTTTTGCCAATAATAACCCTCATTATTGAGGATAGATGTGGATGTTTTGAGAAAAAGATGAAGAATGAATATGAAAAGTCGTAGTGTATTTATTAGCTAAATGAGGGCAATAATGAAAAAAATATGTACAAAAGATCTAAAACGTCATTTATTTAGTTAATTGTTGATAAAACCAAAATGACATTTAAAAAAAATAGCAAGTAGTATAACTTTATTGAACTTGTGTCCATTAACTTTATTTGAGTTTAAAGTCCATAGAACCAAATTAGACTTCAAATTCAACTTTATATAGACAAAGACTAATACAATCAAACTAGGCTTAACCTTACCGAACGAGAATTAAGTCCATAAAACATCGAACAAAGTTCAAACAACTAGATTTTAAGGTAGAAACTAATTTTGCTCTTTGAGCCTAACTGGACAAAAAACCAAATGTCAACCTAAGTTCAAATACACTCACAATTTTGCCTAAAATCAAATATAACAAAATAAAACAAAATAAAACAAAATAAAGATTCAACATCGTATTTTATTCTTTAGTGAAAGAAAATAAAAGTTAGTCTTTTATGTTGATTTAAAACCCATAAATTAAAAAAAAAAAAGTTTAAAAATTCAGCAGTTATGCTCAAGAAAATTACTTAGGCTTCAATAATAAATTCAAATAAAGGTAACTTCATATCAAGACATCACAACTCTACTAAGCTTAGTGATCAAACATTGACAATAAAAACATATCAAACAATAAATCTTCCTTTGGCCGACTTATCGTTCATATGTACAATCAAATAATTGTCACATGAGATGATTAGAAAATATATATGTGATGTGAGTGTACGACGAGATGCACAATAATGACCAACACATTGCACATTAACGACTGTCGGACTGCACCATATAGCAACCGAAACAGTACTAACTAACTTGTTCCGTTCAAAATTTGTTTCATAAATATCAAATTTGTGTTTACTTTTAAAATTTTAGTTATTTTAGTTTCGACTTTACAATGGAAAAAAATGAAATAACTCAGCAACCGAACTATATAAAAAATATTATTTTTATTTAATATATTGTTATATTCAAACGAAAACAACGAAAAAAAATACTAACATACGGAATATAATTTTATAATAAATAACAAACAATTTCAGGTATTCAGGGTAAATCGATTAACTGATCGAACAAACTGCTTAATTCAATAAGATTTTAGTTTTAGTTTTTTTTTTGGAATAAATAAATAAAAATGATATGTTTTATATATTTTTTTATACATATATATATATTATAGTTATTTTAACCAAAGAATAATATAAAAAATATTTAAATAATAAATATACATTTATAATAATAAGTAAAACATTATTTCAATTGTTTACGTTAATTCGATGTACAATTATATCTACTAAATATAGCTTCAAAAGCACATAATTTTTATGTGATCATATAAAGTAGTGCACTTTATATAGCGACACACTACACTTTACAAAACAACACATTGCACTTTATAAAACAAATATTTGCACATTATTACCACACTATACAATTAAAGTCAATAGATCTCGTCAAAATACCACACAACATACATCTAAAAAATTGATCTACATCCATCACATTATTTGTCCCTAAAAAACACAAACATGCTAACATACCAAAATTATTTTAGTGCATTTTATATAGCGACACAATGCACTTTATAAAACAGCACGCTGCACTTTATCACCACACTCCACAATTAATGTCGATAATTCCAGCCAAAATTCCACACAACATAAATTTAAAAAAGAGATATATAATATTATTTTGTTATATATATACTTTAGGTCTTTACAACCAAACTTATATAAAATATTAAATAGAAACAATAAAATATTAAATATATTTTTAAAATATAAATTATAAATTATTTTGATTATTTAGATTAAATTGGTTAACCAGTCAAATAAATTGATTATTCTGGTTTTAGTTTGGTCTCGGACAAATAATTAAAAAATAACTGCACTTCGGGTGCACAATAATTTTAGACAAATTGCACATTAGTGACTGTTCAAAATTTATATTTTTGGTATGAATTTTAAATTTTGATTATTTCGTTTGCAGTCAGCTTTATTTTTTAAAACAACTGAACCGACCGAACTAACACTTTTGGTTTAGAATTTTATATTTCAGTTCGATTATATATTTTTTATTTTTAAATCTCGAATGTAATGTCAATCTATTACGCAATATTTTATTATTAATTTTTTTATCATTATTGTATATTATGTATATGTTTTGTAAATTATCGATTTGACTCATAGATTAAACTAAAATTTAATAAAATTTTAAAAAATTGTAATTAAGTCCCTTAAAGTTATCAAATTCTCAGATGCTCAAACTTAAACCAGTCTTCATCCCATTCTCTTCCACCACCAACCATCACCGTCTACCCCTCCATGGTCGAACTGTTAAACGCCTCCGGAGAACAGCCTCTCGCCGGACATGGCATTACTAGTTTACCCTTATTTAATGTTTAAATGTGTAGATTTGACTATGAATTGTACACTTATTTACAATAATGCCACCACATGGACTGTCATATTTAATATTTGACTTGATCGAAACAATTGATATGTTGGATCCAATGGTCCATAACCATTCTTAATTCTTTCACTGTCTGTCATTCTCATATGATCCTCTCTCTCTCTATATATATACACTAAAAAAAAATGTTATATTCCGACAGAAAATCCTGCGAAAATATATTCCAATGGTATAGTTTTCGTTGGAATGATTCCAACGAAAATATTGCGTTGGAATGACTTTTCCATTGGAATTTGATGATTCAAACGGCTAATTTTTCAACGATTTTTTACTGTAGGAATTTTCGTTGAAATTTTTATTTTCACCTCCGTTAGAAAATCTACCGTTGGAATCGTTAAAATTTAACACAAATTGTGATGGAAAACTCATTCCAGCAGAATATTTGTGTTGGATTTCCGTTGGATTTCTTTAAAATATATTTGTATTAGAAATTTCCGTTGGAATTTCATCATTTTGTCGTAATGATATATATATATATATATAGGGATTGATTCAAATGCATCCGCTTATTTAAAGTGCGGACGTGAGACTCATTCTTAGCCACAAGATTTAGATCTTGATTTAAATAATAATTCTGTATTTTTATTATTTAATTCTTTATTTTTAATTATTTAAATATTATTATGACCATTGACCGTTGACTCCGGCGTTGACCGTTGACTTCGGCGTTGACTTCCAGTGAAAATTGTTGACTTTCGGCGTTGACCATTGACTCCAGCGTTGACTTTCGGCGTTGACCGTTGACCATTTGTCTTTTGTTGTTATGTTATTTCTTTCTTGCTAGGTTAGTTGTGTTTTGTTGCTAGGTTAGTTGTTTGTTGTTGCTAGGTTAGTTATTTGTAGCTGCTAGGTTAGCTGAGTTTTGTTGCTAGGTTAGTTGTCTTAAGTTGCTAGGTTATTTTTTTCTTGCTGCTAGGTTAGTTCTTTCTTACTGCTAGGTTAGTTGTCTGATGGTGCTAGATTAGTTGTTTCTTACTTATATATATATATAGGGGCTGGTTTAAATAAAAAGTAGTGTTGGTGTGAGAACTGTGAGAACCGTATTTGATGCTATTTTTAATTATGTATGATGCTATTTTTAATATTAATTGATGCTATCATTTTCATAAATACTAATATAAATTATGTTGCTATTTTTAATAAAATTCATCCTAGTTAAAAATAGCACCAAATACAATCAATCGTAGCACTACGCACAATTAAAAATAACGGTTCTCACGGTTCTTACACTGAGATTTATTCTCATTTGAACATCCTATATATATATATATATATATATAAAAGTAGCTAGCTCATGGACAAAATCTTGCTTTGTAACGTTTTCCACTACAGCACGTAGCTAGGATCACTAGTAAAGATCACTTGCAATAATGGTCAGACTTACAATTCAAACACAATTATATCAATTCACAGATGGCTTGATAGAATTCTTGTTCATACTAATTTTCATGTCTTGATACATTTAACATTTGTAGCATCGAATATCATAATTATGTCTATTACTAACTTTTGTACATCCAGATTAGATGAAGAATTCCAAGTATTCATTGTCTGGCATGACAAATAAATTATGTCCGAAATGAAGATTAGAAAAGGATACACAAATTTAAAGTGTAAAAAAATTATGCCCAACATTTATTCAGGCATGTCAATAAAATCCGTAGGGTCGGGTTACCCGCAATTTCAGGTCAGGTAACACGGGATGATCGGCTTTCGGGTCGAGTTCTAATAGAATTATGCTACCAAGCCCAGAGTCGGGTCGAATACTGTAAAAAAACTTGATATCCGACCCGATTACCCTACTTGTTTACCCACAAGCATTAAATAATATATATATACAAAAAATTAAATCAATTATTATAATTTTAGTTAATGGTTTAAATTTTATTATTTTCTTGATTTTTTTTATCAATTTTTTCTTTTAGTTGTACAATATAAAATTTAAATACTTAGTTTTTAAATATTATATTAATTAGACCAAAAAAAATAAATAGTTATATCTTAATATTTATTCCAAAAAATAATATAGAATTTTCTTATAGTCATTATTGTCAAACCTAGTTAATAATTTGTTAGTTACATCATATTTAATTGTGAAATTATTTTATTTATTTTTTTACATATAAAACTGGTCGGGTAAAACCCAAATTTAAAAATCCGAATTACCCGTTTATCCGACGAAGACCCGATAACCCGTTAAGTAAACCCAACCCGAACCGAAGTTCACAAATCGGGTACCGGGTAGGGTAAAATTATATGCGGGTCGAGTTCGGGTTCGCCAAAGTCCGCATCCGACCCGATTCATTTACATCCCTACATTTATTCATGATATAAGAATTGTTCTTGGGATGCGTCTTCTTTTTTCACCTCACTATTGTTATTCAAGTTTAATTTGAGATCTTTCACAACTTTATTTATTAATAGCTAGGCATCAAGTATATTGTTGATACGAAAAATTCAAAAGCTCTCGAGGTTGTTGAATTTTAATCCCAAAATGGTTGAATATTTGCAAAAGAGAATTTCCTTTCATTATTACAGTTATCTCCATTTTTCAAAATGTATATGCCTCATAAAACATTTTGAAAAAAGAATTTTCATGTTATAATCTCTATTTTTCAAAGTCAATATTCTACTCCCAATTTAAGCTAAAACTAAAATATTGAAAGATAAGTGCAAATTTATCCAGTAAAATCTTCTATTTGACATATTTGTTGAATAAAATTTTATTTATTTTTTTTTGCAAAAATTAAATTTTGAAAAAACCTCCAAATATGAGGTTTATGTTAAGAGGTGATTGAATAACTTTTTATAAATGGTAGTTTTATTTTTAGATGTTTAGCATTAGTTATATTTAGAATTAATTATACGTAATTCATCTACAACAATTTTATTAACATTTATTATTAAAAATTATTTTTACTTTAGTTATAGATTATTAATTCAAAGAATTTTACATCTAATATTTTAAACTAATATTGTTAAGTTTATAATAATTCACAATANTATCAATGGTCATGATATTGCTTACTATTTATCAGAATAACAAAAAATCCATTAAATCACTTTCTTAAACATAATTGTTACAGTTTTTACCTAATATTATGATATTTACTACATAATTAAATCACTTTCTAAAAAATAATAAAATTGACTTTTAACGTTTTTAGGGGAGAAACCTATGTACGTTTTATTAATTAAGTTTTATTTATTGCTTGCCAGCAAATTATTTATATATATATATATATATATAGAGAGAGAGAGAGAGAGATTTATTATTACAAATTGCATTTAATTTACGTATAGATTATTAATTCAAAAAAAAATTACATCTAATATTTTAAACTAATGATTGTTAAGTCTAAAATTTAATTATTAACAACAATTCTATCATATACATTTATATTATAAATTAAGCTAATATAATCTTCTATTATACAAAATCGTAAAAAAAAGCCCTCGGTGTGTACACTTCTCGTAAAAACATTTTTTGACAAGATCCTGATGAGCGAAAACTCACAAATAGCACTTAGAGAGACTGATAAACATATATTTTTAATATATATGCATACTTTCATGCAAAAATAACATATTTTTTTAAAACAGTAAAAAAAAAGTACAATATATCCCAATATATATAAATATACATGTTTGTTAAAAAAGAATGAATTACACAACTAGCACCATTTTGTTTAGCTATGAATTACACAATCTATATTATAATCAACAATTTTAAAAGGCTTGAAAGTGAATAGGGGCACACTTTGAAAAGTAAGGAAATGAAGCAAACAGACATACATAGACGTATTTGGTGGACTTAAATCAACAAACAATCATATTCAGAATCGTTGGTTTTCGACAAAGGATAATTTAGTTCACTGTTAGGGAGAGTACTGAGTGTTGAATGTCAGGGAGAGTACTGATCACTCGTCACAAGGGGAAATAATTTCTATAAATATAATAAATGAAAACATACACGGTAAACACAAAACAATACATATCAATAAGAAAAAAAAAATCATAGAGAGAAAGAAAATACATATCCGTGTATCAAACAATCTTGATTCCACAGTCGAGAGAAAGAAAGAGAGGGAAGAGAGAAAGAGAAGAGAGAGGGACTTTCTCTTAAATCATAGAAATGGCTTCCATATTTCTGATTACCATATTCTGTGTCTTGTTGTGCATTAGTGCATGGGCATCATCATCTGAAAGCAGTTTGCAAACCTATATCATCCATGTTGAAGAGCCCAACGCCGGTTTACTCGACGACTTACCGGCCTACTACGAATCATTCCTCCCTGTGGCGGACACATTGAGCTCGGAGGCCCCACGGTCGCGCATCATTTACTCCTATCGCCACGTCCTCACCGGCTTTGCCGCCAGGCTGTCGCAAAACGAGGTTGAAGCAATTAAAAAGATGGACGGCTTCATATTTGCGTGGCCCGACAGAAACCTATCCCTCCACACCACTCATTCCCCCGAATTCCTTGGCCTGAGTATCCCAAACACGGGCCTGTGGGAACGGGCCAGTTATGGCAAAGGCGTCGTCATTGGAGTGCTCGACTCCGGGGTAAAGCCTGACCACCCCTCGTTCAATGACAATGGAATGCCGCCCCCACCTTCCAAATGGAGGGTAACGTGTGAGTTCGACCAACCCTACAGCTGCAACAATAAGATCATCGGAGCGCGTGATTTCAGTGTACTAGACACAAATGAAACCCACAACCCACTTGACAAGTATGGCCACGGAACTCACACCGCCAGCACGGCAGCCGGCAACTTTGTGGAGGGAGCAAACTTCTTCGGCAGCGCGGGCGGCACAGCCGCCGGCGCCGCTCCACATGCCCACCTGGCCATATACAAAGTGTGTGGCAGCCACGGCTGCCTGTACACCGGCATTGTTGCTGCCATGGACGCTGCTGTGGAGGAAGGAGTCGACGTGCTCTCCATTTCTCTTGGCTCTGACGAACCACATCAATTCTACGAGGACCCAATGTTGATAGCTGCTTTCAAAGCGATGGAGCATGGTATCTTTGTCAGCTTCGCGGCGGGAAACGACGGCCCTGAATACTATAATGTAATTAATGGGATTCCCTGGGCTCTTACTGTTGGCGCGAGTACTATGGACAGGCAGTTGAGGGCAAATGTGGTGTTGCGGCGAAACAGGCCGAGCTGGTTGTTCAATGGAGAGGGGGCCTACCAACCAACGGATTTCAGCAAGGAATTTCTGCCACTTGTTTATGTCCAAAACTGCACAAGTGATGATTCATTGAAGAGAAGCAAGGTGAAAGGGAAGATAGTTGTGTGTGACTATCCAATTCCTGACATAGCAACTGCAGCTGCAATTAGAAGACTTGGCGGTGCTGCTATGATCTTGGTTAACTGGAAGGATTTGGAGAGCACTACAACGGCAGTAGGTAACTCCCTCCCATCTGCAAACATCAATTATGCAGATGGTCTGGAGGTTAAAAGATATATAAACTCGACGGCGAAACCCAAGGCCAAGATATTATTTCAAGGAACCTTGTTTGGATACGAAGCACCTGTGGTTGCTGCCTTTTCTTCTAGAGGACCCAACATTGCAAGTCTTGGGATTTTGAAGCCGGATATTTTAGGCCCAGGTGTAAATATCCTGGCGGCGTGGCCGACCTCTCGCGAAAACAGAACGAATGTGAAATCCACATTCAATATGTTGTCTGGTACCTCTCACTCATGCCCACACCTCAGTGGAGTGGCAGCACTGCTCAAGAGCACACATCCTGATTGGTCGCCCGCTGCAATCAAGTCGGCCATCATGACTACAGCAGATGTTGTGAATCGTGCAGGGAAGCCCATCGAGGACGCAAATTCTCACGAAGCCAACATCTTTGCAACCGGTTCAGGCCAAGTGAACCCACAGGCGGCAAATGATCCAGGGCTCGTGTACGACATCGAACCCAAAGATTACATCCCTTACTTGTGTGGTTTGAACTACACAAACACACAAGTCGGTCTGTTTTGGAAGCACAACAAGGTGGATTGCTCGAGGGTGAGAAGCATACCTGAAGCCCAGCTAAACTATCCGTCGTTTGTACTTAATTTCACGGGTGGTGAGCCGGTTTCTCAAAAGTATACTAGGACGGTAACAAATGTCGGCCTCCCTAAATCGACTTACAGAGTGACTGTTGTCCCCCCAGTTGGCATCAAAGTTCTTGTCGAGCCCGAGACTCTCAATTTCTCGAGGCTGAACGAGAAAAGGCAGTATCAGGCGACGTTTACACGGCTCGCGACCGCACCCAACAAGCCATTTGTTCAAGGCTTTCTAATATGGTCTTATTGTAAGTACACTGTTAGGAGCCCTATTGCAGCTATACTGCAAGGGCCGCAATCATGGAACTGAGCTGCAGATAGATGTACTACTACCAAGGAAATCATGAAACTAAGCGCAATATATAATGGGAATAAAATTATAATTATGCTGAATATTTGGGAAAAGAAAGTTGCCAAAATATTTTGCAAATATGACATTAATTCCTAGTTGAACCATACTTGCTGGAATCAACCAACAATTACTGGCCGACTTGAGTACACGTCCGTGCTATGCAGTTGGTGGTGAATGTATTTTGTCGATTAAATTTAGTATTATAAATTAATTAATGTATTAAACATATCATTGTAGGAAACAAGATGAACTCTTAATGTATTCTCTTTTTAAAAACAATATAATGATGTCTTAATATAAAATGAATAAAATAACATATTACAAACTTAACAAAAAATATGAAAAATGAGTTTCTAATGAAAAGTAAAACACTAAATAACCAAATAAGGACATAATGTGTATATATATATACTAGTAAAGTGCACGTGCGATGCACGTGGTGACGAATGTTTTTGGCCGATTAAGTTTAGTAAGATAAATAAATTAATTTATTAAACATATGATTGCAGGAATAAAACATGATGAAGAACAAACATAAACTCCTAATGTATATTTTTTTCAAAAATAATATAATGATGTGGTAACACAAAAAAGCTAAAATGACATATTACAACCCCAACAAAAATATATGAAAAATGAGTCTCGAATAAAAAAACTAAATAACTAAATAAGGATCTAATGTATATTATAGATTCATGAATTCATTTATTTATTTATGTTAGATTCAAGAATAATTTTCTTTCATTTGGTTTTGATGTTCTCATACGAAACATTCATACTCGTTGAAACCCAATACATCATAGTATTGCAAAATTTTTCTTAATTAATTTGGCCAAATGTTCATGTCCCCATTTAAAAAATAAAATTGAAAGAAGAAATATACATAAAAAATTAATTTACAACTCAACCAATTATAGTTTAATTCAGCTCATAACTTTAACTAAAATTATAACATAAACGCGATATCACCTGGCTCTTGCGCGGAACCCTAACCCCCAAAATCCATCCGCCGCTTCTTCAAATATCTTGACAGTCGGCCTTCCCCGGTAACTGCTCTGCTCCGGCCAATGGTCGTCTTCAACGGCTCGCACCACTTCTGACAGGCACCCCTCGGTTACTGCTACGGGTTGGTCGGAGATGGTTGGTCGGTCTGTGGCTCCAGACGGTTGCTCGATCCTAGGCGGAGGATGGTCAACGATTCGGTCGCCAGCAGGTCCTCCGGTGGTCGTCGTCGCCGTGGCGATCTGTTTCTGGTCTGCGAACTACGGGTCCCTCCCGATTGGCATCGCCTGTTCCGGTGGAGCTGCGGGTGGAGTACGGCCTCCAGTTGCCGGCGGTTTGCGGTGGCGAGGTGTGTGGTCTTTTTGTGAGGTGGGGCTTTGGCAGCTGTTCGCCTATATTTTTAAAGCTCGACCGCAAGTGTACGGCTTCGCTCGTAGTATGTGGCAAGCAAGGTCGTATCCCAAGAGACCAAATAATTATTATACCAATTACTAGATTATGATAGTGTTGATTTTATTTAGACGACCGAATATGAGATGGATTAACTAAACTACGAAATAAATCAACGCAAATAAAGCAAGAATAAGAAAACAACTAGAAACACTTAAGAAGAATATATGGGAATGGTAGATTCTAAGACTATGGGTTCAATTAACAGTTGGGTTCCTTCAAATTTATCACAACTAACTATTTTCTTTATCTACCCTATAAGATGATCGCAATTTTAGCCTATCGTCCCTCTCGAGATCGATAAAACCGTAGATTAAATCACATATATTAGCGTCTCCACTCAACACATGCAATTCAACTCCAATTAGAACAAAAGATCTAATATCCTCACAACGACCTACTAATCTCTCGATTCAAGCAAGTAAATTGTGTCAAATATTAAAGACCTAATATTGAACTCATCTCTCGAATTATGAACAATATTGTCAAACATGTAAAAGAATTGATCAAGTTCTAAACATGAAATATAAACAAAATATTTGAATATGGTTCAAAAGAAAACAATCAACTATGATAAATCATCCAAAATCCCAACATATTAATCTACTACCATGTCTTAGAATCAAATAAATTAGCTGCTCATGTTTGAAATCAAATACATAGACATAGTCAAAATCAACATGAGGAAATAAGTTCAAAAGAGAGAAAGAAAAACTAGTAAGCTTGTGGTTGATCTTCTCTTCTCCTCAATTGCTTCTCTTGTGTGTTCTCTAGCTCCCTTCCTTGCGTAATCACGTTCTAGGGTTCAAAATCAGGTAAATATGTCTTTTTATAGGTCCAAAAGTCCTTTCCTAATCGAAAAAGGCAAGGGATTAAAAACTGCCCGCGTCGCGACACGACCTGACACGCCCGTGTCACAGCCCGTGTCACAGCCCGTGTCACGGGTCGTGTCAGGTATCAAGCCTCGGAATGTCCCTGTTCACGTGACACGGCCACCTGACACGGGCATGGTGCCCGTGTCACCGTCCGTGTCACATCCCAGCACTCTCGTTTTTGTCCGTTTCACTCGTTTCTTCCATATTTCTCATCCGTGCATCAATCCATCATCATCTCGGGGGTCCTAGGTACTCACAATGCGCCTCCAATAGCCACAAATACGTGAAAATATCTACAAAACAAGCACGTGTAATACCTTTCCAACAAATAGAGAATTAAAGCATAAATATGCAATTTATACACCAATAATGCAATGACTAAGCTCTAAATACTCAATAAATATGGTTTAAAATCACACATGAACAAACCCCCAAACTTGAACCATTGATAGTCCCGATCAATGCATCAAACTCCTACCAACACACAAGGAAACACAATCACACTCTCAAAGTCAATCATACACATTCTCAATATGCATCGGGCAAATAACATAACCAAGTTCCAGAATTTTTAAACATAAAGAATGCTTCATCAAAATCATGGTCAATGCTTTAATTCACAAACCTCACCGGATAAGTGTATACTCTCACTCTCAATAGTGTATAAGGGAATAATCACTCAAATCAATTCAATGTTGAAAAATTACCATAAGCTTGCAAATCGTCAAATATCTCCACCACTCATTGTGCATGCAATTCGTGAATCAAAAAGGACTTCTTATTTGGTTGTAATGTAGGCTCCTTGGTTAGGGTAGGAAAAATATGGATAAAGTGACGAAAACTTGAGCATCTAGAACTACAAAACATGAATTACACAATTTCATCACCTATTAATCAAGATCAAGCTCAAAACAACTTATCTCATACCCCATTTCAATCAATACTCGCAAGCCATATAAAAAATTCTAAAAATCCAACCAAACAGCCTTTATTTCAGTTAAGGCTAAAATATACGGCTACATATACTTATACTTTTTTTTTTCTTTTTTTATTTTCCTTTTTTTTCAATTTTTTTTCTTTTTTTCAGTGTTTTTTTTTTCTTTTTTCTTTCGATATTTTCTTTTTTTTTTCGACTCTATCAACCTCATTCAACTTCCCTCATCAACTTACACTCCCATTCACGTCTTCCCTTCATCCATACCACAAACAATACACTCATCCTCTTCACATAATATAATTCTAAATGCTCAAGTAAGGACAAGGAAAATAATAGATGTAGCTCAATATGTGGCATTCAAATAAAATAGGCAAAGGCTCAAAAGGGTTAACTAGGGAATAAAAATATCATTTGGTAAGCTAAAAGGTCAAAACGGCTCAAACAAAAATATGCCTTAAATCATTTTCACATAAAGCACACACCATGTGGTCTCGATAAAGATACCAATGCAAGTTCTAGAATTTAATCAACAATGAACGATACACTTGAAAAAAAAATAAGGCTCAAAAGCTCACAAAGGATCATATATTCATGAATTAAAAGCATCAACCAATCATTCAAATTCACAATTCCATTAATTCTCAAATTCGATCACTCAGCACATTATGCCCGAATTATATATCAAATATGCACAAGAAACTCATCAAGATGCAAAGTCGATCAACTACAACTACTTAAATCCTAAGAAAGCAATAAACGTGCTAAAGCGATAAAACCTAACATGCAACTAAATGATATGCAAGATAATGCAAGATATCTTGTTATCTTCTCTCTGAAATTCTCAAATCAAAATACCACATCTCCCCCCCAAACTTGAATGAAATTATATGAAGCACAAAAGGGAAGAATAGAATTTCAACAAAAGAAAAATAGAGAAAACTTACAAAACATCATTAGAGAGATGACGACTTTTGGTATAGATCTTGAAGTATGTCCCTCGTCATGTAAATCTCTCCATGGAATGTTCTGCAAGGAAGAAAAACAAAATATCAAACAAACAAAAGTAAAACTAACTAAAAAAATAAATAAATAAAGCAGTAAACATTGGGTTGCCTCCCAACAAGCGCTAAATTTAACGTCTTCAGCCAGACGACAATGCTCATTAGGGAACTCTAAATAATGATTTTGATGATCTTCTCGTCTTTTTAATTTTCACTTTCTCCCAGTAAGGACTCAATCCAAAAGAGAGCATCATGTTCTCTTCATGTTCACCAAGTTTAGTATCACAATCTGTTTCAAATTGAACGACGAAGACTTCAACCTCCTCATCATATGGAATAACAAATTCAATTTTTAAACATTCAGAATTAAAGAATTTCTCTTGAATCATCCCTTCAGTGAGAATAACTGTGGGGGATTTAACTTCAAAGATGACATCCTTCTCTTCTTCATGTTCTTCGGCAACGATAGAATTTTCTAGCACACTATTTAATGGCAAAAAGCATGGAGGAATGTAATCGAGCTCTTCTTGCGATATAGGAGGTAAACTTGAGAAAGGACAATTCCCCGGTGTGTGTGATAACATCAAACCACATTCATCACACCCAATGCCTCTTTCCTCGAGTTCTCTTCTACGACGCTTTGACTCCAACTCGACCTTTTTAAGCTCTTCTAACTGATAGATCAAACACAGCTCATACCATTTTTTATCTTCTTCCGAGTATTTGGGATCTTGGCGCCAGTTATAGTCTACCGCATCCTCATCCATCAAAAAGAAAAAAATATGTTAGCAAAAAAATACAAAAAAAATGTCTAAATTAAAACCAACACTATCTATCATAATATTGATACAACTAATTATATTGGTCCCCGGCAACGGCGCCAAAAACTTGTTCGCCTATATTTTTAAAGCTCGACCGCAAGTGTACGGCTTCGCTCGTAGTATGTGGCAAGCAAGGTCGTATCCCAAGAGACCAAATAATTATTATACCAATTACTAGATTATGATAGTGTTGATTTTATTTAGACGACCGAATATGAGATGGATTAACTAAACTACGAAATAAATCAACGCAAATAAAGCAAGAATAAGAAAACAACTAGAAA